TTCGGACGCGTTTATAGGTTTAAAAGTCTAATCATCTCTTGGTTAGAAGTTATGAGTCAAAGTCACTTTTCAACTTAGTCAAGTAACTATATTTCTTAAAAATAGGTTTATTACTTTAATGCAATACACACTTTTTATCCGTGTTAATAAAAAGGCATTATTTAAAGAATAAACTCGGTTCTGAATACGCGAAAGCGACATTTCCTGTTAAATTAGTTCTTTTCAAAGTAGAAAATATTGCCCCATAAGTAGTTCTATTAGAAGCATTTTAGAGTATTATCTGACCATTGTGATTTGCATTTGAGCCCGTTGCTTTTATCTGAATTGACATCTTTTACTTTATTTACTCTGTCTGCTATAAAACCCTGACTTGACCTTCCTTAGATAAACATAGTGACAATAGAATTTGATAGATTGACATTTTGGTCTTTGTGGGAACAATAATCTTTTATATTACTCTGACGCGATTCGTATACTTACGAAAATCACGCATCGGCTAGGAGCTGCCGGAGAAAGCATGACGTGGGAGTTAGAAAGCAAGATGCGGGACTCTTATCCTGAGTTGTTTGAATGAGGTAAATTTTCGAGGACAAAAATATTCTAAGTAGGGGAGAGTTATAACGCCCGTTAATTTAATTAATTATTTAAATCAAATTATTTGTGGATTACTTATTGAACTTGTTAGATTATTATTAATTAATTAATTAGTTGATTAATAATATTAAATGTTGGAATTATTGGTATTAGTGATTGGACTAATTTTGGTGGTATGTTGTATTAAGGGGGTATGAGGATTGGGCCCAATTAGACTATTGTCATTAATTTTAGTAATAATAGAAGTTAGGTTAATTGAGAATAAAGAATTGGAAGTTGATCGTAGGAGTTACATAACAAGGAGAAGTTGCAAAGAAGAGGAATAAGTAGAAGAGGCGAAGCGGGATTCGATTGGAAAATCATAGAGTTACCTTTAATCCAAGGTAAGGGTGGGGTTCTGACTCTATAATAGGAATTATGATGAACATTGTGTAGGAATTGGGTCGGTGTAATATTGCGGTGCATATAATTATTGTAGTTGTTTATGAATTGTCTGCAAAATTAACCTATTTTATCATCGAATATGTTGTTGAAAATTATTCCATGTTGACGTTGGTATAGTTGTTATGTTGCTGTGATTATACATTGTGTTAGTCTGGGTTTGCGAAATTAAAATCAAAGGAAATCTGGACAAGTAGAAGAAATTACAGAAGTCTGCATGAAAACACGATGTGCCGAGCGGAACATTTGGTGTTCCAAGTGGCACGATTGATGTTGTATTCCGAGGGGCATAAAGGTGTATCGACCGACATAGTTTGGTAGAAGGGAGTGTGACGAGTGGCACAGATGCGTGCCTAGGGGCACATATGCGTGCCTGGGGGCACAAAAAGTGTGTTGAGGGGCATGGTTTTCTATTAATTAAGGGTAGTATATTTATATATACTTAGTCTTTTCATAAAAATAAGAATAACAAAAACTACTTTAACTTAATTAAGTTTCAGTAGCAAATTTATTAAAAGAACAGAGTTAGTAAATAGAAGAGTTGGTATTAAAATAGCAGAGATATTAGTAACTAATATATATATATATATATATATATATATATATATATATATATATATATATATATATATATATATATATATATATATATATATATATATATATATATATATATATATATATATATATATATATATATATATATATATATATATATATATATATATATTAACAGTAGAGATAAATTAGTAGCAGGTTTATTAAATTAGTATAGTAATGAAATAATAGGAATAGTATGAACTAGCAGTAGCCGTATGGGTTTGATAATAGTAGTACAGAGAAGAAAAAATAGTAATTTTAGCAGATAATTATTAAGCCGGTATAGTTGAATCATCCAAATAATTATACAGAACATTTGTTGTATATTTTAGTCGATATGGTGTGTTGAATACTTGGCTGAAAAATATGAATTGCAGGTGGTATTGAATTATTAGGCTTATAGCCAATGTCGAATTATATTGAGTTGTTGTGTCGTTGTGATTGTCACTGTGAATTCTTGTTGGTAATACGAAGTTGCAGGGAATTCTAAAAGATGATGAGTTACCTCTATTTACTGGTAATAATGGTGATGTGGGCTTATGCCTTGCGATGGATGATGATTGTTGTGAATATGTGATAGTGCATTCGTTGAGTCATATACATTTGCATACTCTATGATGACATGGATTGGCAAACTGCGAAGAAGGCTTATGCCTTGTTGATGCCTCTATTTATTGGCAGATTTTTAAGATGAGAGTTCTGCTCCATTGGTACCACATGCATTTGCATAAAGATGAGTTGCATTCTATATTGCATTCTGAGTCATTGTGTAGTTGAATTGATTATGCTTATGATGTTAAAACTTGAGAAGTGGTGAATATGAATGAACTGATTCTAATGTTTTATTTATCATGCGTTCTATTATAATATTCAGTATCTCACCTCTTCTGTTTGAATGTTACCCCGATGTTGGTAACATGCAGGTAATCTAGAGTGAAGACGGTTTACCTTCAGTTGTTCGAGTCAGTGTCATTGCTCTGATATGTAACACTCGGGGGGATGAACGCTTGTTGTTTTATTATTGTTATTATTTTAGTTGATTGAATTTTAAGTTGTTGTTCTTTAAATGATTGTTATTTGAAGTTGTCTTAGTTGGACAAAGATGATACATTCCTTTAAGTTAAATATTATGACTCCGTTGCAAGGTTATGAAAGTTGCTGTCTCTTTTTAAGATTGAATTGTGTTTGCTGTTGGTTCATCCAAGTTTAATGTGTTATGTATCGGTAATGAATTTCGTTGCTTTAAGTTGAATTTGTGGCGCCCTGATTTAGTTGTAGAATTCTTATAACTCTGATTTATATATTTATTGTCGGGTAGAATTGGGGTGTTACACAACACATTAGAAATTGTTGACCTTTTTCCATCTTTCCTCATAATCAAAACATCTCCAATACATTCAGCTTCTAGAGTATTGTCGTTTGTAAATTTCACTCTGTTCTTTGTTGAGGTTTTGAAGTTTACAAACTAATCTTTCCTTCCAGCTATGTGTGAAGAGCATCCCGAATCCAAGTACCATTGATCCTTGAATTTTTCTTCATCTCTTATTGTAACCATCAACAACATCTCCTCTTCTTCATACTTTGTGAACTTTGCATTACTTTCTTGATTCTTTCACTATTTTGGATAATTATTAGAATAGTGACCATACTTCTGACAATTGAAATAGTGAATGTGACTCTTGTCAGGTTTTCTACCACCACCTCTTCCTCTATTCGCAACACCACCTCTTTGGTTGCCTTGGTATGGTCTTATATGATTCGAAACGTTTTCTTCCTGCTGATTTCCTCTACCAATAAAATTGTTGTAGCCACCTTTACATTTTTTATCAAACCAGTTTCCTTTGCCTATCTTATCTCTTACTGATTGGGCTTGCAGAGCCATATCACTCTTCGAATTTCCTGCAACTCTTTCAGCAATTTTTTGTTTGTGTGATTCAAGCGTTCCTTGAAGTTCTTCCTTTGAAAAAGATGACGTGTCCTTTGACTCTTATATGGAAAATACCACGTGATCGAACTTCGGAGCCAAAGATCTCAAGATCTTCGAAACAACTGCTTTTGTTGTTACCGTCTCTCTACAAGTCTTGATTTGATTCACTAGTTTCGTAACCCTAGTGAAGAAATCTGATATGCTTTCACAATCTTCCATCTAAAGAAATTCATACGTTCTTTTGTGAGTTTGTACCCTCACCTCTTTCACCTTCTCAGCGCCTCCAAACGATTTCTTCAGGATTTCCCAAACTTCTTTTGCAGATTTCAAAATTTCCTGGGCTGACACATTTATGAATTATAAAGAGAGGTTTATAATTCTTCTTTTTCGATTCTCTATATGCAACTTCTTCTTGCTCTGAAGCATCTTCATCAAGTGGTTCTAATCCATGTTTTACAAGATCCGAAAGACCTTGAAAAGAGAATATAACCTTAATTTGTTTGCACCAATTCTAATAGTTATCACCTTTAAGAGTTGAGAGATTTATTGGAAAATTTCCATTAGCATAATTCATCTCCATCGTGAGTTTCTTCTCCTTCTTCCTCGATCGTTCTTCCCTTGAATCACTCAACCGGAGCTCTTGATACTAGATGTTAGAAATCTTCCAAAACATATGATGAATTTCTACCAATCTTGATGAACAAGATTGATATCACCATACAATGACAATGAAAAATACTTTATTTCTTTTTTTCTTTCTTCATATTTTAATTTTCATTGTCATTGGGTGGTGATATCAATCTTGTTCATCAAGATATATAGAAATTAATCATAGGTTTTGGTGGATTTCTAACACTAGGGTGCGCGCCATATAATTTCCTTGAGACCCTACGTTAGTAAGAGTACGAGTAACATTTATAAATTGTCCAATTTGAAAGTTTAGAAGTGTGGTTGCTGGATAATTGAAATCTTTCAAATTGAAGGACTTTGGGCAGGTATAAGGCTTCCTGTAGAACAACATAAGCATTGAGCTTTTGTAGCCGCGGGCATATAGAAAGTTCATATAATCAATAACATTCATGTCATATACAAGTCCTAGGTCCACCACACGATTAGGTTGAATGTGTTCTACACCATAACCTAATGGAGTTTCCGGTTCTAGTGATGAATCCAATATAGGCCCCCAATGTTGTCTTGTGTTGTTGCTGCAAGAGACATGAATATTATCGGTAAAATGTGTAGACTTTTATTCAAAAAGTGCAAGAAAATGAAAGAAATGATCTTATACTTTATCTGTTGTCATGATTGCTTATTAAATTATAACTGGACTTCAACCGGGATGAATAGATTTAAGCAAGCCAACAAGACCAGCAACAACGGGACATGACATTGAAGTTCTTGACATAACATTGAAAGGAGTTCTACATTTATCATATTCTTATTTTGAGGGAGATCTAGCTTCGCTATAAGCCGCAATTATGTTGACTCCTGGTGTCATGATATCAGGCTTAAATAGAGAACAAAAATCATAATTGTAAGATTACAAGAAGTTTGAATTATTATTCTATCAACTAAAATAACATTGTGATGTCAAAACAGAAAATTAAACCTTAAGAATAGTTCACTCGATGGGATTGGGTCCTCTTGATGAAAAAAAATGCTATAATAGGAGCTGGCTTTGTAGAAAATGTGTTGTCACTGTTGGAAGTAATTCATATTCAGAAGATGTTGTTATTCATAAGCAATAGAGCTTCTGAGGTTGTTAGCCAGAAGATGTAAGCTTCTGAGACTACTTAGTTAGAAGCAGTAGTTCGATGTAAATAGAAGTTGTTATTAATCAGAAGCAGAAGCTTCTGAGGTTACATCCATAAGTATGCTTAGCTTATGGGGTCATGGGTTCAGAGTTTGTTAGCGTAGATGTTAAGTTTAGTATTTCCTAGTTTGTACCTTTTAACTTAGTCATTAAGTTTACCTTTTATTAGGGCCTACATGGAAATTTACTTTGTGTATAAATAGACCAGTAGTAGTAATCATTTGTATCATTCCATTTGTAAGCTTTACATCCTTCATTCTCTTGTTCTCATAAATATATTCCTTTTGTTTATCATTGATTCTTGTGCACTAACAATTGGTATCAGAGTTCCAGTTCTGATCCACTGGGAAACATGAGTGAAACGTGAGGCATTTGTGTGATTGATTTTGGTTCTAAATTCGTGTTGAATCTTTGAACAAAATCTGAATAGAATCACTTTTTTTCTATTATGTGGGGTTGGGAAACACTATGCTTGTGAGATATGAGTGAGTTGTAAAAAGTTAAGGATGAACGAAAACGGTAGTCTGAGTACCAAACTTCCTATTTTTGATGGAAATAACTGGAATAAATGGATGATTCAGATGCGCGTGTTGTTTGATGCTCAAGATGTTCTTGAGCTTGTTACCAAAGGTTATGTTCCAGTTGCAGAAAATGCAAAGGGAGTGTAGAGAAATGCACAGAGAGACAAGAGGAAGAAAGATCAACAGGCGTTGTTCTCCATCCATCGGTGTGTGGATGTGAACGTGTTTGAGAAGATTGCAGATTTGATGATATCAAAGGGTGCATGGGATATACTGGTCAGAGGTTACAGTGGTGAGGCATCAACGAAGATGGTGAAACTTCAGTCCCTATGAAAGCAATATGAGAATCTCAACATGAAGGATAATGAGAAGGTTTCTGAGTATATCTCTAGAGTGATTCTGATCACTAATGAGGTGAAAGCTTGTGAAGAAACTCTTTCTGAACAAGTAATCGTTGAGAAGATATTGAGGTCTCTTATTCCTTAATTTGATTACATTTTTGTAGCAATTGAATATTCTAAATATTTGGATACCATGAGAATAGAAGAGTTGCAAAGCAGTCTAGAGGCCCAAGAGTTGCGTCTGACTGAAAGAACTTCTGAGAGGGAAGTTGAGTAGACTCTAAAGGCTTCTTTTATCAAGAAAGACAAGAAGCAGAAGAGACATGGTGGTAGTTCCCATAAGTCATAAGTCTTCTATTCTGATGAAAAGAAACATCATAAGGGAAAAGAGAAATATGACAAGAAAATGGTTAAGTGTTACTGTTGAAATAGGTTTGGCCACTTTGCTAAAGATTGTTGGTCAAATAAAGAAGAAACAAAAATAGATAGATGAGATTCAGATGATGAACCTGTGCTATTAATGGCTTATGAATGTGATGAGGAACCTGTGAAATTGCCATTTTCTGATTTTGAATGGGAGGAAGATGACTCTAAATATTCTGACTCTGAAGGAGTATTTGAATATGAGTCAGAATCAGAAGATCACGCTGAAGATTCTGAAGATGAGTCAGAATCTGAGATTCCTGTAGATGAGTCAGAGTTAGAAGATGACTCTGAAGCTGAAGGCAAGTTATAATATAAAGGTGATTCTGAGTCTGAAGAAGAATAAGAAGATGAGTCAGAATCTGAAGGAGATTCTGCTTTTGAAGATGAGTCAGAACATGAAAGTTCTGAAGAAGAGCTAGAGTCAGAAGATGAAGAATCTTCTGGAGACTCTAAAGATGAGTCAGATGGTGAATCTGATTCTAATCCAGATTTTGAATCTGGTGGTGGTCATGCTCCTGGAAGGGAAAACTCTGAAGACATATATTCTGGAGGACAAACTTCTAAATATGATAATGTTTCTGGCGGAAATCATTACTCTAAGGATGGACCTTCTGAAGGAGGAGCTTTTGAATGAAATCCAGCCTTTGACGGTGATCATGATTTTGAAAGTGGAACTTCTGAAGGCAAAGCTTCTGAAGGTGATCTAACTTTTGAAGATGGTATTTTTGAAGATAGTGGTTCTAAGCGAGGTCCAAAAGTTAACAAATGTGTAACTTCTTGTGGTAGTCATACTTCTGAAGAAAGTTCAGAAGAAGATGTTGTTCCAGAATCAGAAGGAGATTCTGAATAAGTTTAGAGACCACAAAGAGTCAGAAATATACTAAGGAGATTTGCAGAGTTTGATAAGCTGCAAGATACTGAAGAGACTCTGAGGTATATAATGGTATTCCCTTCTAATGTTAGATCAGATGCAAACTGATATGCTATTCAAACTCTGATTTGTATGGAAACATAGTTGACATAAGAAATACTTCTGGATACTTTTGTTTGTATCTGGAAAGTCCTATTTCTTGGTGCTCCAAGTAGCAACTGGTGGTTGCATTATCAACCTGTGAAGCTCTCAAGAAGAAAGTGTGGTTGAAGGCCATGAAAGAAGAGTTTGATACTATTGAAATAAACAAGATTTGGGAGTTAACTGAGCTTCCGAAGGAGAAGAAAAACACCAGCGTCAGATAGGTTCTCAAGGATAAATCTTCCCTTCTAAATGAAGTATTAGAAGCTGCACACTATAGCAACCAGAAGCAACTTGCATATGTTCTGATGAATTAAGGATGTCAAGACTGGACATTTTATCCGTTTGAGGGATGATATTGGTGTTGAAGAGTTTTGGTTAGCTGAATATTAATTAAAGGGTGGTGTTGGAAGTAATTCATATTCAAAAGATGTTGTTATTCAGAAGTAATATAGCTTATGAGGTTGTTAGTCAGAAGTTGTAAGCTCCCGAGACTACTTAGTTAGAAAGAGTAGTTTGATGTAATCAAAAGTTGTTATTAATCATAAGCATAAGCTTCTGAGATTACGTCCATAAGTATGCTTAGCTTCTGGGGTTCTGGGTTCTGAGTTTGTTAGTGTAGCTGTTAAGTTTAGTATTTCCTAGTTTGTACCTTTTAACTTAGTCGTTAAGTTTACCTTTTATTAGGGCTTACATGAAAATTTACTTTGTGTATAAATAGATCAGTAGTAACAATCATTTGTATCATTCTTTTTGTAAGCTTTACAACCGTCATTCTCTTGCTCTCATAAATATATTCTTTTTATTCATCATTAATTCTTGTGCACTAACCGTCACTTTATAAATGTAAGCTACAGGAGACCTACATCATACAACATAAAATGCTATGAATAATCAAAACCATTAAATTAAAGGACTTAGATTGCATACAATCATGCAATCACGAATCAGTGTCTGATATATAAAAAAATGTCGAACTTACACTATGTACTATTTGATCTTGATCCATCCGACAACATGGAATTCAAACTTGAAATCAAAACTAGGAAATTTCATAAAATTACTTGGTATGGTTAATGTAATTAAAAATGTAACTGCCATCTATAAAGGTGACATATGAAGAAGGAAGCACATGAGGATCAGTTGGAATTCCACTTCCTGACTTATTATTATTAGCCAAATAACTCCAACAGCACCCACACGGGCAGCTTCCACAACCTTGTGAGTTCTACAAAGAAAGTGACAATCATCTTGAACTTGAAGACAAACCAATATTTCCCCCTTGGACTTTTGTGGATCAAGGGTTCCACCAATGCAATTAAGGCTACAATGATTAAGTCAATTATAATTAGGAAATAATGTCCACCAAACAAAAATCATCTGAGGTCACAATTTGGTTAAAAAAAGAAGTATCCTTACGCGTCATTGGAAGACACATTATCATATTTAGCATGATCGCCACTTATCAATGGATACAGTTTCCGAGGCAACAATTCCATCCCTGAAAGGCTATCACCCTAACAATAAAGTTTATTATACACGTAAGTTTTTAACCTATGAAATGAATAAACCGTCAATTTAATATTTATAATATCGATAGATACCTTGATTGTTTTGTTGTCACCAAGGCTAACAAAACTAGTGAGGTCTCCATCAATTGTACTAGCCGCAACATTGATCATCCATGGTTCCACATTTCCCACAGAACAAGTATAAGGTCGATCATTTGAAGCTGAACTCACTACAATTATATTGTTGGCAACTGCATGAAAGGAACCTATAGACATACTATTTTCATAATATTCCACCGGAGAACCTCCCAAAGACAGAGAAAGCACATCAACACGGTCATTAATGGCAGCTTCAAAAGCAATCAAAATCCTTCTTATCAAATAAATACCGCAAGCTCGTATGATCACTAAACACTTCAAATCTGAATCCATAAAGGTAATGTCTCCAAATCTTTAGTACAAATACCACTGCAGCTAGTTCTAGATCACGAGTAGGATAATTCCTTTCATGAATCCTCAATTGCCTCGACGCATAAGCTACCACTTTATCATTCTGCATGAACACACCACCTAAACCCAATTTATAAGCATCACAATACACCACAAACAACTCTTCAGGATTAAGTAATATCAAAATCAGAGCCTTTATCAATTTCTTCTTTAGCTCAGTAAAACTTTATTTACATTGGATGTCCCACACAAAAGCTTTGCTTTTACAAGTCAGCTGAGTTAGCGGAAGTGTTAACTTAGATAAGCCCTCAATAAATGTTCTATAATAACTACCCAAGCCCAAAAAGCTCTAATTTCCGTAACTGATTTTGGAGCTTCCCACTGCAACACTGCATCCACCTTGGATGGATTTACGACAATACCATCACCTGAAATAACATGACCAAGAAAAGTGACTTTTTTATAACCAAAACTCACATTTTGAACACTTTGCATATAACTTCTTCTCTTTCAACACTTGTAATACAATTCGCAAATGCTCAGTATGTTCCTCTTCTGATTTAGAATAGATCAAAATATCGTCAATGAATACTACCACGAACTAATCCAAATAAGTGCGAAAGATACGGTTCATATACTCCATAAACACCGTCAGCGCATTAGTAACATCGAACGATATTATCGAACACTCATAATGTCCACACCGAATTCTGAAAGTTGTCTTCTAAATGTCCTCATCCTTTAATCGAATTTGGTGATAACTTGATCTCAAATCAATCTTGCTAAACACACGTGCACCCACCAATTGATCTATCAAGTCATCTATTCTCGGAAGTGAATACTTGTTTTTGATTGTCACTTTATTCAACTGTAGATAATCAACACACAGTCTCATACTACCATCTTTCTTTTTCACAAGCAACACCAGAGCTCCCCAAGGCGATACACTTGGCCTCACAAATTTCTTTTCAAGTAAGTCTTCTAATTGCTTCTTCAACCCTGTTAATTAAGATGCTGACATCCTTTATGGGGCCATAGAAACGGGTCTGGTTACAAGATCAATAGAAAATTCCACTTCTCTTTCTGGTGGCACATCTGGAATATCATTTGGAAAAACTTCAGGAAAATCACATACTACCTGCAACTCATCAATCGCAACCTGGTTCTCAATAGATAAAGACGCCATAAACGAAAACACCCGAGCTTCATTCTGCATCAACCCATTCAACTTCCTAGCAGACAAGAACTCAACTTCCTACTTCTTGTTAGGAGAAGAAAACCGAATAGATTTGTTGTAGCAACTAATATGAACATAATTATATTCCAACCAGTTGATATACAAAATCACATCCATACCACTCAGCGGTAAACAAACTAGATCCACAATAAAATCTCTGTCATAGATTGATAAAGGACACTTCAAACACACTAGAGAAGTAGTCATTGATCACTAAGCTGGAGTATCGATAAACATTTCTCCATTCATAGAAGATAATACAAGATCCAACTTTTTCGCATAATCAGCAGCAATAAAACAATGTGTAGCACCAGTGTACATAATAGTAATTAAAGGAGTACTATTAATGAAACATATACCTCTGATCAATCGGTCTCCACTGGATGTCTGTGTCCCAGCTAAACCAAACATTTTCCCACCGGTTTGAGTTTGCTTCGGTTTTTGACATTGAGTACTTATATGTCCTTCCTCTCCATAGTTGAAATATATTGTCGCTTTATGTTTACAATCAGCTATTCCATGTCCAACTTTTCTACAACGAAAACACCTATGCACTTCCCTAGTACATGCATTACTTTGATGACCAAGATTTCCACATTTGTAACATACGACGTCACCAGTAGCACCTCCCCCACTAGTCCTATTACCATCATCAATTCTCTATTTACCTTAGCCAGTTAGAGCACTATAAGGCTTCCCATGATGTTGTTGTTGCTTGCCTCTTTTCTCAGAGATAATATTGTAGTGAGCCTTACAATCCTCTTCATAAATCCTGCAACTATTCACCGAATCCAGAAATTTACAAATCTATTGATGCCTAATTGCCTTCTTGATTTTTGGGTGCAACCCATTCTTAAACTTCACACACTTGAAAAATTTCAGTCGTCGCCTCATTGTAATTAGGATAAAACTTTGCCAGTTCCATGAATTTAGCAGCATATTCGGTCACCGACAAGTCTCTCTAATTCAATTCCAGAAATTCAATTTCTTTCTTCCCGCAGAAATCTTTCGGAAAGTACTTCCTCATAACTTCCCTGCTGAATACATCCCATGTAACCTCTTCACCTTCACCATCCAGCCTCTGACGAGTGCCAGTCCACCAGTCACCAGCTTCCCTTGCTAGCATATGTGTACTGAACCGCACCTTTTGTGCCTTAGAATAATCCATAACCTGAAATATCCTCTCGATCTCCTTGAGCTAAGTCCGCGCTCCATCAGGATCAAACCTACCCTTGAACGTAGGCAGATGGTTCCTCTGGAATGTCTCCAAAACACGTGATCCATCATTCCCACCAACATTAGGCTGATGTTGCATAGCCTGCAAAGCAGCAGCAAGTGCAACATCGTTTCTTCCAGTCATTTCTTTGTTTCACATCATAACACCAAACAATGGTTATAATAAACACATCGACAATACTAGACTGTCACACCACACTACTAACTCAACAACTTGGCTGGATGGACTGGTCTACTTTGATACCACTAATGTAATACCCTAATTCCCCGATGATAAATTAATAAAATTAGATTTATTCTTTTCTTAAATTAAAACACCACAATTAGGATGCTACACTTCAACATCATATTAAAACTTGCTAAAGTATACATAAACGGATACACAACACATTTTTTGGATGAACCGACAATAACTCAACACATATAACAACTTTAATTTCATCAATGCAGTTGAAAGAACATATTTGTTATTCGAACATTCTCAAATCGACATAAAACAACATTTATTCAATTAAAAAGGGAGTTCGTAATACTCCAAGAAATCACCAAGACAAAATAACAAATTAAGCAAAATAAGCAAGTGTTCATCCCCCTGGTGTTACGTATCAGAGCACTAACGTCAACTCAATAGAATATTAAGAGCAACCTCTTCTAAACTCTACAGCCTCGGACTACTCCTGACTATCTGCACGATGTCGTATAAAGCATCATTCCAATAGAAGGGTGAGATATCACAATAATATAATAAGTTATATAATAATAAATATGTGAGAGATATGTCATGCAAAGTTTCATACTCTACACCATCAACAACAATTCGTGTATGTAATAATCATACAAGCATATATAATTGTCAACACATGTCATACAATGCATACCAACTATGCAACTCAACATCAACATCATATTAACAATTTAATAATATGCAATGCGACTGACACCGACTAAAATACACGTGGTACCATCAGGGAAGAAGCCCTCTCCATAATGCCAAATAAGACAGCAATAAGGCATAAGCCCTCAACAATTTTCCAATCCAAGCAAACAACAGGGCATAAGCCCTCAACAATGCATGAATGCAATATGCAACAACATAATTATGCAATTACAGGGCATGAGCCCTCCACATTACGTCATTCCAAACTAACATCAACATCATCATCATGCAGAGAATATGCAATTTATTCACACCTCATTCATATAGTATCATCGTGTTCAATTACAACAACATTCATCATATTTCATCCAACACTGACACACAAGGCCTAAGCCTCAAATTAAAAATAATTATCTACTGCTATAAAAATTATTATCATATTAAAAAGAATTTTTTTAGCTTTTCAACAGTCCAAACGGCGCGTCAAACGGACACTAGAGTCAAAAGTTATGAATTTTAAAAATTTTGAAAATTTATCAGCTTCAGTGAGGTAACAAGTTACTTAATCCAAGTAACGAGTTACTTCAATTTCCAGAGCCCTGTTATGCAATTAGTTGCTGAGGTAACCGGTTACTTCAGCCAAGTAATGGGTTATTTCAACTTCCAGTAGCCAATTTTTATAATAAAAAAAATATGAGGTAACAGGTTACTTCAATGAAGTAACCACTTACTTCACTGAAATATTGCCAAAAACCTATAATTTCTCTGCTACGGGATTGTCACTCAAACATGTCAAATTCCACAATTTCTAACACATACAATGCATTACATTCCTAATCCAATTAAATCACCAATTTCATCATTCACATTCAATTATAACAATCAATTCAAGAATAACCTACACCAAAATATAACATTCACATCCCTACATACCCACTATTATATCACCTATTAGAGAGTTGGAACCCCACCCTTACCTTGAATTGAAGATTTCCCAAGCTCCAAGAATGGGTTCTCCGTCTCTTGCTTGTTCTCCGTTCCTTGCTTCAACTTCTCAGAGCACGATTGTTCCAAATGATCGATCTCACTCTCTTTTCCCCCTTTTGACTAGAATAGCCCTTGGACCCCTAAATCACAATTCCAACTTTACCCTCACTAATCCTCATGTAAGGACCACCTTGCCCTCACTATTTTCCTCATATTATCCAATTTAAATAATTACCCTATTTCTAAAACCAATAATTCCCACTAAATTATTTAAAATTATAATAATCCTCCACACAACTCTAATTCAACACTATCCAACATAAAACACCGACAAACTAACAATTGCATCAATTAAATCACAAACAACCGACTAAAAATAATAAATAAATATTTGGGGTGTTACACAAATTATTCTAGAGTATTTCTAAACCTGACATGCAATCCTTAACATATTGGTTTAACAACAAACTTTTCCTACAAACATAGCATGTATTTTCATAGGTACAGAAGATACATGAAGCTATTAGCACAAATACCATGGTATAGGGAAGACATTATTTACCTAACTTTAAAGTTTGCATAAACAAGATTCCCTAAAATATATAGGCATGTTATAACAAGGAACAATTCTTTACATAGTATGGC